TTTCACAGGGATGCTTGGTGGTCTGCCTTTTATCCAAGTAATAACAGCCAGGTCGTTGTGGGAGAACGGAAGAGTCAGCCATCCCTTTTCAAAAACAACCTCTCTTCCTGCCAAAACAATATTACGGCTGGCTTTATTTTTTAAATGGGATAATATGGAAGAAGCATGATAAAGAATGACCCCTTGTAGCCCTGTGTTGTAAAAATAGCCATTGGTAATACAATGGTGCCTGCTTTTCCCTCACATTTTGCATAAAAGTACATTTTTAAATAATAGTGGGAAGATGACAGGAAACACTGATTGAAGACATTCTGTGTGCTGGGTTCTGAAGCTTTTTGTTAATCATTTATTCTTCACAGTGACTGGAGAACACGTGTGTGTGTGTGTGCGTGTGTGTGTGTGTGTGTGTGTGTAGAACATTGAGTGTCTTGCTCATTTATTCCCCACTGTATTCTCCTGATGCAGGCTCTTCCACTCAACCTGAAGCTAGGCTAGAAACCAGGAAGCCCCAGTCATCCCCGAGTCTCCACACTCTCCATGGCACAGGGGTTATATGTGTGTGCGCAGCTGTACCCTGCCTTTTTATGTGGGTGCTGGGGATTTGAACTCAGGTCCTCATGCTTGAACAGCAACCTTTACCCTCCCCAGCCCTTCTTGAAAGAATCTTTAAGTCCATTTCACAGAGGGGGAAGCTGAGGCAAGGAGAGTCTTTTTCAAAGGCGGTGTGGTCTGCAAGGAGAGTGCCCAGATGAAAGAGCGTGACGTCTGCCTCCAGGGCCCTCAGTCTGGACTGTGCGGCCGTTACCGGCTTTGATTTGCTGTGTGCTATATTTCCTCAAATTATACGGCATTTACTCTGGTGTCTACCCCCCCCCCCATTCTACAGATCTACAGATTGGGTAATAGAGCATGTAGCTAGTAAATCAGTGCCGGGAAAAACCCGCATTCCCTCGTGCATGCAGTCCGTATCCATGCTGACTGCTGGTGGGCTGGGAACCTCTGACCTCCTCCCTCAGCCTGATTCTGAAAGCAGGTTGCACCATCCCCTGCCAGTTCCAGGATAAGCAATCCAGGGAGGGCTCAGCCGTCTTCCTTGTCTTCCTCACGCATACGGCCTTGTCTCAGTTGACACCCAGGAAACCTGTGGGCATTGAGTGTCGAAAACCAGCTTCGACAAAACTCATAACGTTCCAGGGTAGGAGCATGAGGACTGTACTAAGCAAAAGGAACAGAGACATGGGAGAAATGAGAGACAGAAACACAGAACAGCATTGGAAGGGATGTTCAGTGAAAACTGAATTCTTCGTTTATTCTTCCACATGCTTAAGACGTCACTCCAAACGGGGAGGGAGGAGGCGACAGATATCATTAACATGACACAGGGAATAGATTTGAATTCTCTGACCCTTTGTCCAGGTGGAGCAGATTCTCTACACCCAAAATACTAATTAACCACACCCGAGGTCAGAATATCTCGTTTGTGGCCACACCTGTTGACAACAACTTTGAGAGAGCAAAAATAAGCTCAAACTCTCTGACCTCCAGTCAAGGTAGAACAAGACTCACACCCGTGTGTGTCCCGAAAATTGAGCAATGTATACCTGGCCCTCAATTATCTCTGCAATGGTCAGGCTTTATATAAGAGATCAAAACGTGCACCCCCAAACAGTTGTGCCACTCTGCAAGTGTTTCAAACTGAGATTTGCTGGCAGGCAGTAAGACTGACTGACTTGAGCTTTAAGTGTTGTTGGCTTTCCCCAACCCAGAGTCTTGAGGGCCTGCCAAGCATTGTTGAGACTTTAAAGTAAGGCAGAAGTCAGTTGGCCTCCTGGGGGTAAACATGGCTCTGTAGATAAGGTTGCCCCAGACCTGTAGTCTTTAAGAGAACTAGGCCCATCGCCTTGGGACTACCTCCGTGACTGACTGACCCAGAGGTGTGGAGAGCTGACAAAAGATGAGCTGGTTCAGTAAGATCAGTAAGAAAGACTTACGGATGCGTTTTCCCAGGTAAACCATCTAACGTTTCTCTTCAGACATAGTGGGCGAATTCTCAAAAGAAGAATGTCACTTGTCTTTTAGATACTTATATAACTTAATGCAATCTTATCTGTGAATTCTAGGACAAGAGCAAGTGCCTAGGAGTCATAAACAGGGTTAGGCAAAAAAAAAGAAAAAAAAAGGCAAGAATGTTGTGTAAATAGGCCAAACCATTGGACACTTGGTGGATTACCCTGGAGGGAAAAACCATGTAGCTGTGGTTGACAGGGCCTGGAAGTGCTTCTTCTCTGCTTTAAACTCAATGCGGTTGCAGGGCACAGCATGTTCACATTGTCAATGTTCGTCGTACTTTACATACCAGCATCTTTCCCGGGTGTAAGTTATACGTCATTTAAAGACTGGAAGGAAGTTATACTTTGTTCAAAGGCTGGAAGTCCTCATTTGGATTTGCGTATATCGTCGCTCAGGGCTACTCAGGTTTCTTTTTAGTTGAATCTGTCTGGAACAATCTGGGTACTTGGCTCTACCTGGAATTGCCAGGGCTGCATGGCCAGAACACCTGAGGCTGTGTTTTTTATTCTATGAATCGATGTCTTGAATGACTTCGGTGTAGACGCCTTGAAATAGAGAATGATGTCACCTTTAGCTGATCAGTTGTTGACAACCCTTTGTGAATAAAGGAAGTGCTGGCCAAGGCTGGGTACAGCTGTGACATCATCTCTCCAGTTTCACCCTCCGGCCGATGGCTGGTGGTTAAAGTACAGGGATGAGCAATAAGGACAGGATTAAGTAGGACCACGCGATAAAAGGGCAATAAGAAGGCTCGCAGAAAGAAACGGCTTCTACCAGCACTGAGGAAGCTTGGGGAAAGAGGCATCTGAGGGGCTGTCAGAAGCACAGTAGGATCTTGATAAGAAGAAGATGAGTAGCAGACGCTGTGAGAAAGTCTGTAGGATGCTCATATTCTCCACTCACTGCCGATTGGCTCCCTTAGGATAAATGGCACCCTTCCAAAGCAACCGAGGTTTGAAAGGTGAGCTGGGGCCTCGCACCGACGGGGGTGGGGGGGTGGGGGGATGTGGTTTCGATTGGGAGGTCTGAGGAGGTTACAATCAGTCTGTTATCTCCTGCAAAATTCACTTCCCGGCCTCATGGCTGCACAGCCCCATGAATTGCCCTGTGTGTCTAGGTTCAGTGTGTTTTTGTTGTTCTCTTGTGGACCCTTGGCTGTTCCAATTCAGTTATGAGCCACGGTTACACAGCTTCTGTGAGCTCGCTGTGACCACCCTTCTGAGACCCGAGGATGGCTGGGTACCTGACACTCCTTCCTAACTAACCAAAGCCACAGTTCCTCTGTCCACTTCTTACAAGCATCTTGTTTTCGAGTCCTACAGTGGTTTGGCATTCACGTCCTTCCAGCCTGACTGGCGTGATCCTTTATGATCCTCTTTCCACCAGAGGAAGCAACGTGAAAGGGTCCGTTTCATGGCAACCGTGTGTAGGAAGAGAGGTCAAGAGAGAAAGAACACTAGCAAACTTGTGCAGGTTTTGTAGGAGGCCTCCCTGCTCACCTTTGCCTGTTGGCAGAATCGCTTCCTCCTGATAAGGCACTGGGCAGGATTTGGGATGGTGGCAAAGATTTCATACTCAGTGTTGAAACAGACACTGTGAGGTCTGCCTGTTTAACTCCTTACTAACCTTTTGCTACTAGCTTACTGGTCCCTTCACAGTGTGGGCAGGGGTAACTTCCGCCAGCTATTGCCTTACCTCCTGTTGGGTACCATCAAGATATTATTCTTATCACGGGGATATTAATGCAACATCTGAGATGTTCCTGTTTAGATACTATGATTGGAGTTTCTGTTCAGACTCTGCAGTGGCTTGTTTTTCGTCCTCTGAGGACAGTATCAGAGTAATAAGGTTTGAGGCAGCTTGGATGCAAACCCTGGCTCTACAGCACTCGGTTTCTACGTGTGTGTGTGTGTGTGTGTGTGTGTGTGTGTGTGTGTGTGTGGCTTTCGCATGATCCTTGGTAATAATGATCAAACAAGATAATCCCTACGGGAACATCAGCAAACTTAGCGCACTGTCTGGTTTCGACCTTCCCTCTTAGACCACAAACATCTAACCCCGACCAAGGTGCCCAGTGCTCCTTCATAGTCTTTGTCTGGACAGCCTTCGAGTGTAAAAGCAATGCCATGTTAGCTTTGTGTTATCACAGTGCTTCTCAGCCTGGGGGTCGCATATGAGACAGCCTTCTTAGCAGATATTTATATTAGGATCCATAACAGTAGCAAAATTGCAGTTACGAGGCAGCAACAAAATAATTTTATGGTTGTGAGTCACCACGACGTGAGGAACTGTGTTAAAGGGCCGCAGCCTTAGGAAGGTTGAGAGCTGCTATACTATCATCATCTGCTCACTTGTTTTAATCGCTGGGGTTGTACTTTGGAGTTATTTGTCCCCATATAGAGATGCTGGTATATTATTCAGTTATCAAAGTTAATCATGCACCATTCAGTTCTGTCACATTGGCTTAGTGGTTCTATTAGAAAAATAATTTTCTTGATGGATGTATCTGCTTAAGTTTTTTGTTGTTGTTGTTGTTCTTCTTCTTCTTTCTTTTTTCCCGTCTGGCTAAATGACTGGGTTCTGAATTAGAAGCCTTGCCCGTAGTTAAGTACACTGTGAGGAGCAAGCCTCCCACATACATGGGTTTTCTACCCTGGAAACCGACAGCTACCACATACAGATGGCAAATCAGATACACTGGAGGTGGGGCTTCACATCTAAGCTTTGTACAGCACACCGAAACTGAGGAAGGGATTGGGCTGACCTACCTTTGGAAGCTTGGGAGGGTAGCACGGAGTGTCCATCCTGCGGCACAAGCACTTGGACAGTCTAGGACTTCACGTGTGTGCCATGTGTGTGTGAACCAGTTCTGTCACACGGAATGCCGCCTCTGCTTCAGGTGTCAATGTGTTTCTCCCCTGTTCCTTCAGGTAGAACGCCATGACATGAATACCCTCAGCCTCCCGCTGAACATCCGCCGAGGGGGCTCAGACACCAACCTCAACTTTGACGTCCCAGATGGTATCCTGGACTTCCACAAGGTCAAACTCAGCGCCGACAGCCTGAAACAAAAGATCCTAAAGGTGACGGAGCAGATCAAAATCGAGCAGACATCCCGCGATGGAAACGTTGCCGAGTACCTAAAACTCGTCAGCAGCGCGGACAAGCAGCAGGCCGGGCGGATCAAGCAGGTCTTCGAAAAGAAGAACCAGAAGTCGGCCCACTCGATTGCCCAGCTGCAGAAGAAGTTGGAGCAGTACCACAGAAAGCTGAGGGAGATTGAACAGAACGGGGCCTCTCGCAGCTCAAAGGAGATTTCTAAGGACAGCCTGAAGGAGATACACCACTCCCTGAAGGATGCCCACGTGAAATCTCGAACTGCTCCCCACTGCCTGGAAAGCAGTAAGTCGAGCATGCCGGGGGTATCCCTCACGCCCCCCGTGTTTGTCTTCAATAAGTCCAGAGAGTTTGCCAACTTGATCCGGAATAAGTTTGGCAGTGCGGACAACATCGCTCACTTGAAAAATTCCCTGGAGGAGTTCAGGCCCGAGGCCAGCACCAGGGCCTATGGAGGCAGCGCTACCATCGTGAACAAACCCAAGTACGGCAGTGACGATGAGTGTTCTAGCGGCACGTCAGGCTCGGCAGACAGCAATGGGAACCAGTCCTTCGGTCCCGGTGGGGCCAGCACACTGGACAGCCAGGGGAAGCTGGCCATGATCCTAGAGGCGCTGAGGGAGATCAAAGACACTCAAACCCAGCTGGCAGAGGACATTGAGGCGTTGAAGGTGCAGTTTAAGAGAGAGTATGGCTTCATCTCTCAGACTCTGCAAGAGGAGAGATACAGGTACGTAGCTCAGAGTGTTCCATTGGGATTCCTTTCACAAACGTGAGTTACTAGCCAGGGAGGCTGTCTGCTTCAAAGTCGTGCGCTAATGAATGTGTTTGCAATAAATAGAGATGTGGGTGCAGAGACATTTAAAAATTGATAATCCTTTCCATCCTTCATAACTCTTAAGTTCCATAATTTCTGGCTCATGGCTGACAGTTAGAGGAAGACATTATATGTGTGGGTCTCTTAAAACACCATCAGCCAAGCTGTGACTCACGTGCATATTAAGACATTGATTCATCAGGCATCTGTGATGGTCTTAATTGCGCTAGAGACTTGATTCCCTCCGTAATGCCAGTCAAGTGAATCTGTTTCAGTGGACAATGAGGTAGGTTTTCATTTGGTGTGTCAGTTTCAAATATCCGTATTTTGTTCACTAAACTTATGTTTTAGCCTTGCACGGATTGGAGGGGTGGTTCAGTGGGTAAATGGCTTTGCTTGCCATGTGAGAGTGAAGACGTAAGTCCAGATAGGTGGCACCCATGTAGAAAGTGAACTTGGCAGTGCAGGTCTGTAACCCCAGCACTGGGGGCTGTAGAGACAGGCAGACAGCGCAGGTCTGTAACCCCAGCACTGGGCAAGAGTGGGCACATAGAGACAGCACAGACAGCGCAGGTCTGTAACCCCAGCACTGCAGGCCGTAGAGACAGACAGATTCCTGGAACTTGCTGGCTGGCCAGCCTAGCCAGGTTCAGTGAGAGGCCCGATCTCAGCAAATAAAGTCAAGAACAACTAAGGAAAACACCTGGCTTCAACCTCTGGCCTCTATACACACCCACAGCACAGATATAAAAATGTACACACACACACACACACACACACACGTATGCGTGCACAAACATTTTACTGTGAATGAGAGGCTCTCCAACACCATCTTGAAATTAATCCAAACCTTTTGGGGTCTCTCATCTGCTTGTGAAAGTATGTGTTTTGTAGGCTGGCATTTATATGTACACTGCTTCTTAATAAAGAGTGTAGATAATCAAATATGAGATTATTTGCCCCATTTTGCTCATGAAAAGATCCTCCCAAAGTACCTCAGTCAAAATGGGCTAACATCTAAGAATATGAAATAGATTGTGAATGTTTGTTAATACTGTAACAGTTAAGTTGTAAATCTAATTTACACACTGTTTTACACTTGATGTGTAACTTTATGTCATACTTTAGAATGTGGCTCTTTTCTCTTTCTCATGAAACTTGATTGTGATGCCAAGATTTGAACCCAGGGCCTCGTGTATCTTAAGTGTGTGCTGTACCACTGAGACGTCTCACCAGCCCTGAAACCATTTTTTAATTGTACATCTGTATCTTTGATTTCAGCATGTTCATTGCACAAGAACTGTGTTTCAAGCCACAGCTGGCTGAGAGTGCATTGACCTTAATTTCATCTAGATAGTTTGAGATAGAGTGTGTTTTGGACGCATGTCTTATCCCAAATCACAAATACTCACTTTGTGTGAGTTTTGGGCCGTCTTTGCTTTCACGTGTCCTGTGTTTTGTTTGTGATCCCGGCAATACAGTCACTGGGTGCGTTACCTAAGAAGCTTAAGAAGGCTTGCTTAGAACCATGATAACGTTTAGCACCCATGAAGCTAAACCTGAAGATAATCATTAAATCTGAATTAAGCCTTCACCTGCTTTTAAAAAAAAGTTTCTATCAGATGACCTACATAAGTATCTACCACTGGCCTGGACCGGTCATTCCAGGCTAAGACAGCCTCCCTAGATACTATCCCCTCTTTAAAGTAGGCAGGACAAAGTTTCAGATAAGACCCAAATCCTCTTCTCTGGGGTGGATGTGAGAAAGGAGCTCTCTTTCTCTCGCTTTTGGATTTTTGAATCTGCTAGTCCATAAGTCATCTATAATTTGTGATTAACTTAGTTTTTTTTAAAGATTTATTTATTTTTATTTTGTATGTATGAGTATTTTGCCTGAATGTATATCTTTTCACCATGTATGTGCAGTGCCCATGAGGCCAGAAGAGGGCATCAGATCCCCTAGAACTGAAGTTACAGACAGTTGTGAGCTGCCATGTGAATGCTGGGGTTTGAACCCCGGACCTCTGGAAGAGCAGCCAGTGCTCTTAACCACTGAGCCATCTCTCCAGCCCTTGGGGTTTAGTTCTTTATTAGCACGTAAAGTGAAGAGCTGAAAGGCATGTCAGGGTGTTTACTGTGAAGTGGCGGGATTGACCACGGGAATGGAAAACTTCATTCTTTTTCTCGTGGGCTGTGTGACCATGAGATCCCAGTTACTGGTGGGCAGGAGAAGGAGAAGCCACTGCAAACATGGCCGGTCCTGGCTGCACAGCCATCTCCTCGCTAGGGGCAGCTGCATCCTTTGCAGAATCTATCTGTCGTCATGGCAGCTCTTCCAGGTGCTGGTCTGGCATGGGTGAAAAAAAAATTAATTAAAATAAAAGTTTGATCTCAGTAAAACCTCAGAAATGAGGATATACAGTTACTACTGCAGAGACAAGCCAGGCGGTGCCTTTAATCCCAGCACAGATTAGGCAGAGGCAGGTGGATCTCTGTGAGTTCAAGGCCAGCCTCGTTTACAGAGTGAATGCCAGGACAAACTCCAAAGTTACATACAGAGAAACCCTGTGTCTTAAAAAAACAAAAAAATCAAGACTGCAGAGACAGGTTCCTTCTAGAATTGGGATTCAGGGGTAACCAAAATTGTGTTCCCCAGAAATAGACATACTCTTTCAGAAAGACAGTCCTCTGGGGAATGAAAACAAGCCAGGGTCCCCCTCAGACCAAAAAAAAAAAAAAAAGACATTTTTCTAGAACACACTGTTGGAATGCCTGTACAATGCGCTCATTTTGGCTCCTGTCTTTTCAAGGTATGAGAGGCTTGAGGACCAGCTTCACGACCTGACAGAGCTGCACCAGCACGAGACAGCCAACCTGAAGCAGGAGCTAGCCAGCGCAGAGGAGAAGGTGGCCTACCAGGCCTATGAACGCTCGAGGGACATCCAGGTATGGGCCCCTTCCCGGGTGAACCTTGGTGAAGGGTTTTCTTTTCCTGGCTTTAACTCATCAGGCAGACTAACTTGATACATTTCCCTTGTGCATGGGGAACGAGATGTCTTCTCCACACGGACATTTCTCGTCCACCTTCTAGCCCTCCTGACATGTATTAACAGTGTTTCTGAGATAATTTACCCTGTGCTCCTGTTGCCTAACCGAGTTGGCAAGTAGTTATCGCTGGCCTAATTCCGACACCACCAAAATGTGATGAAATGTCCAGTGTTAGGCAGCCCCGCCTTCAGGCTTCCTGTGTAGGCCAGGGGCGATCGAGAGCCGCCTTCCAGAGTACAGCTACCCCTGAAATCCAGTCCTGCTGCGCCCCACTAGCTGGGGTAGGAGGAGAGGGTGGGGGTGGCATCAGGCATTCTTGGGTAAACATGGGATTTGAGTCCCAGGTCTGTTATTTACCAGCTGTGGTTCTGAGCAAGCCTTGAGTCTCTTCTTTAAAGCAATTGATTTATATGTTGTAAGAATGGCAAACGTTCTACTGCCAGCGTTTACCTAAGTACTGTATGGGTTTCTTCCTCCTCCTCCTCCTCCCCCTCCTACTCCTTCTTCTTCTCTTCCTCCTCCTCCTCCTCCTCCTCCTCCTCCTCCTTCTTTTTCTTCTTCTCTTCCTCCTCCTCCTCCCCCTTCTCCCCTTCCTCCTCCTCCTCCTCCTACTCCTTCTTCTTCTTCTTCTCCTCTTCCTCCTCCTCCTCCTTCTCCTCCTCCTCCTCCTTCTCCTTCTCCCCCCTCCTCCCCCCTTCTTCTTCTATGTACTCAATAGCCCTTGGAGATCGCTTCTATTGTTGGCCTCTTTTCTCAGGTCTGGAGAACAAGGCACAAAGAGGCACAGTGACCTGAACAAGGCACGGCAAGTTGTCCCTTAGGACTGGCAGAGAAGGCTGGACTGAACAGGATAGGCAGGGCCCAGAAGGTTGACAGGAAGGGCTGAGTAGATCCACATAAAGTTTATGTCATAAGCAAAGGCCAACTGTGAGGCTTCCTCCCAGAGCCCCCAAGCTGCTGTGAAACAACCCAAGAACAAACAGGGAGAGTCTCGCTCAGTCTCACGTTTTCAGACTTTCTCTTTAGTGGGTATATGAGCGTCAGGAAGGCCATCCGCCCCCTGAATCACCCCCCACAGGGGAGAAGGCCAAAGCATAGAAGATGGCGTCTCTCCCCGGTGCGTGTGCTGCAATCCGGCTGCATGCCTTGTATTCTGCTCTGGTGGAGGCTGTGTTTGCTGATGCCAGAGGTCTGCTCGGACAGTTCTGGGAAGCAGGGCTTCAGAGCTGACAGGAGACCTTGTCCCTGGAGAGCAGAGGACCCTGGGGGACTGGCTATTCTCTGAGTGAAGAGCCTCAGCATCTCCACTGACTGGCCTGGGGAACTGAGCTATCGTCTATAGAGTCACTCTATTTAAAACATATTTTATTACGTTTACTCCTGTGTGTGTGTGTGTGTGTGTGTGTGTGTGTGTGTGTGTGTGTCACAGCACACGTATGATGATTACAGAACAACTCTGGGGTGTCAGTTCCTCTTTCTACCCGTGGTTCTCAGGAATCAAATTCAGTTCGGGCAGCAAGTGCTTTTAGCCACCGAGCCATCTCGCCAGCCCCGAGGCCATCCTACTTTCGAACAGGCCTGGGACATCCCGGGGTGGTGTCTAAACGTGTCGTTTCCTCACTTAGGAGACGGTTTGGGTTAACATTGTTCTCGTTTTTCTTAAGAAACTTATTCCGGGAGTGAGGAGGTCAGATCCAGGGAGGGGGTCCCCCAAAGGGAACTCTAACTTCAGAAGAGTTCATTTCAGCGTTCCCCAGCTCCGTCTCTAGTCAGAACTAGAAAGAGCTTCGGGATAAATGACAAAGGTCGCGGAGGCTCAAAGCGGGCTCTACTACTCGGTCTCTGTGTGAGCCTGGCCAAGTCAGTGCCGCGTGCCTCCGATGCCTCGTCTTCAAAAAGTCCAGAGGATCAAATAGAATCAGATATTTATTGTACCAGAATCTTCACCAGGCACATACTAAACAGCCAAGAAGTTAATGCTGCTATTCCTTTTTATCTTCCTGTTGAGTAGCAACATCCCCCAAAGGCTTTTAGTTATTGAACCTCTCCCGTTTCCCTTCATTGCTCATATCCTTGGTTCTTGTAAGTGGGCTTCCAACAGGGATGGGCTGCGTTGGTGCCTGTGGCGGGTGCCCACAGACCCACACAATTTCTGCTGTTCTTTTAGGTGATTGACCCTCCTGCCCCCTTTAAAGTCCTGAATATCCAGTTTAAACTACTGAAGAAAACCCCTTCCTCTGTCTTCATCTAAAACAAATTAAATACTGGACCAAGGATGTCCTAGCCATCGGCGGGGCTTATTATCTCTCGGTGCCGTGGACAGATGGCCTTATAATTCACTTACCTAATTTTCTTGTATTTTTCTTTTAGTAAAAAAATCAGTAGCAGTTCTAAGATGAATTCTAAGATTAGTCTAAGGAGATGTGGACTTCTCTACCGTAAACTGAGTGAAAGAGCCGAAAATGACAGCCCTCTGTCTTGGTCTCTCACCCTTTCATGCCATGCCTAAAATGGAAAAAAAAAAAACAAACCTGGGCCCCACAGCTGAAAGCAAGCCCTCCCTCCCGCACATGCCCGTTAGTGCCGACAGCCAGCTCCGTTTAAATGTGAAGAGCTGAAAAAGTTGTATCCTCTGGTCGGGAGCCTAGTATAATGAAAGTTGCTATAGTAACGGAGAACCCTGTTCTTTGGCCCAGAGAGTATATTCAAGCAGGAGAAAAGCAAATCAATGTTGGAGCCATTATACTTGCTTAATGCCCGGAAAGGTGACCGGACCCAGCTGCACAAGCACATTGGGCAAATGATTGCAGCTGCGCTGGTGGAGGTGCGGGCAGGCCACACCGCCTCTCGTGAGGTTCTTTGTTCTCCAGGGGCCCAGGCTTTCCTCTGGAAACTGACATCCTGGTCCTGGCAGCCAGCCAGGCTCTTCTACCAGGATATGGCCCCTGCCACACACAACACTACTCTGTTCCGAGGTGGACGATGAGGGCAAGATGGGCTTAGCCCCTGTCTAGATGCAACCTATGTGCCTCCCAGCTGTGCAGGAAGGCTGGCTGGAGACTTGCTGGCTCAGGGAGGGCTGCTGAGACCTCTGAGATACATGGTCCATCTGCAGGTGAAGAGCGGGGATGCTTAAGTGTTTCCAGTGATATATACTGCGTGGACAAAGTCCCCCAGCATTTTCAGAACCCGGAAGTAATCAGTTTGACCAGCGCCTTGTGTGAAGGCAGGAGAAGATGAACGAGCACGGGCTAAGCAAGTTTTGGGAACATGTTATGAAAAGAGGTGTCAGAGATGTGTATCTTTCAAAGGTCACTTGGGCTATTACGGGAATGTGAGTTGTGGAACACAGGGGTGTGAAATTCACACAGGTCAAAGCCCGGCAAGCAAGAGGTCCTGGCGACTCTGGAATGGAGATTGTGTGAGAGAAAAATGGATTAAGATAGATATTTGGGCACTGTATTGGTAGAGCCAGCTGATGGATGGACAAGAGACAAGTCAATGGGTGCTCTTGAGCGTCTGTCCTAAGAGTTAGCGGTGTTCAGACGCAGCTCCACCCCTTCTCCGTTTGTCCCCGAGAGTGCCCACAGATGCCCTTATTTTATGTCACTTTATCTCCTATATAAGTGTAGCGAAATAGAAATGGCAGGGTCTGATAGCGTGGGACTCTAACCTCAGATCCCAGCACTTGGGAAAGTTGAGGCAGGAGCATTAGAAATTTAAGTCCAGGTTGGGCTACTTCCCAAGAGACCTTGCACCAAAAAAATAAAATATAAAAGCAGATCACCGTAACTGCTGACTTATGATGTTTTATGGGTGCATATATGTGTGTCCACCACCCATGACAGGGTAAAGGGGGTCTTGGGATTCCTGTCTCATACCTCTGTCTCTCACCATCAGTTTGGAGACTTGAAACCGCCTAGGCACTAGGTGTTGTGAGCCGGGGCTTCCAGCACATCTGGGCGTGTGTTCCCACAAGGCCTGCGATTCCAACGGTATTTGATTCCTTGCTGTCCTCTTGCCTGCAGGAAGCCCTGGAAACTTGCCAGACACGCATCTCTAAGCTGGAATTGCATCAGCAGGAGCAGCAGACCCTGCAGACGGATGCCGTGAACGCCAAGGTGCTGCTGGGGAAATGCATCAACGTGGTTCTGGCCTTCATGACCGTCATCCTGGTGTGCGTGTCCACCCTGGCCAAGTTCGTCGCGCCCATGATGAAGAGCCGCTTCCACATCCTTGGCACCTTCTTCGCTGTGACTCTCCTGGCAATATTTTGTAAAAACTGGGACCATATTTTGTGTGCCATAGAGAGGATAATAATCCCGAGATGAGCCGCTGGTTCCCGCCTTCACATCCTCTCAAGTTCTTATTTTGAAGAAAACTCTGTTGCAGACTACCAAATTCCTGAATGAACGGCTGTGCCAAAGATGGTGAGAAGGACTGAAGCCGTGTGCTGTAAATAATTAGCGTCTCCTAACCCGGTAGCAGCTGCCAACGCAGTCCCTGTACGTGGTTAACACAAAACTGCCCCCAGAGTTCTCCCCACATCGCTCACGGCCTTAATCAGAGCAGATCTCCAGCCCACCTGGCGAGCTGGGCAAGGTAGAGCCCCATTCACTGAGCGCTTGGCACCAAGAGCGACCCAGAGGAACGGGCCTCTCTGTGTTTCCCATGGATCTCTGTCACATTGAGCTTCGTGATTGCTAGCAGCTGTGTGCTCTCTGAGCCCCACAAACAGCAAGGATATGGCAGGACTTGGGGAAGTGAGGAAGCATAAGTTATCGACAGTGTTGAGCTCTTGTTGTGAGGGGTGGGGTCTGTGGAAGCTCAGTCAGTCTCTCTGTGATCTATCCCACTTGCCCACGGGTGGCGCTGCGTCCTGTTATGTGCCCCGTGTTCACATTGGTCAATTGCGTATGTCCCTGTACCGTGCAAATCTTATCGCTGCTTCTCCGGCAGAAATCTGCCTAACCAGTAGCCCCGCACTTTACACAGTAGACACTAGGATTTACAAATGGGCTAACCTCTTCTGCCCAGGGAAACACACACCCGATTTCATCTCACCTGGCTAGCAGGGCCCTGCCCTCGGAGCCTTCGGCCCGTGCTTTTGTCCAACTGCGGCCCTGATAGCTCGGGGTGCCGCGAGCATCCCTGGGAGGCTCATGCCCAATCTGGTGATGGTTAGCTATGATAAATCCCCTTAGAGGATGGCATGCACTTTTCGTGATTCACTTTGCTCTCAGGTCTGCAGAGATCAGAGTCCAGGGAACGAAAACAAACGACGCTCATGTCGCTAGGTGTTATTTTTCTTGAAGACCACAAAATCAAACTTCACACATCATATGTGTGCCGAGGCCAGACCCTGGGGGCCTGAGAGGGATGCGAACTCTTGGTCTGATCAGTTGGTGGCCAGGCGAGTGGGAGCCCTTTACCCAGATGAAGTCAGGAGGGCCCACTTAGGGGTGTGAAGGGCAGCGAGAATTAGGTCCATTGTTAAGCTTAGTTGCTGCCGTCTGTCTTGTAGGCACATAGTAGGACAAGTTCTGAGGTCACAGGATAAATGCCCTGCCAGTGAGCAGAAAACATGCAAGAGCCGCTGCATTCGGTGGCTGCCGTTTACTGATGAAGCACAAAGAGGAGAGAGAAGGTTGTACTGGATGCTGCCAGCCAGTCCTGGTCCTCCCACCACTCCTGCCAAAGGTGTAAAGATGCCATTAAATGTTTACTTTCTTCCAGAAGATGTTCTCCAAGATCTACAAATCACCGCTTGCAAATGGCTGTTCTTAGGGACGTTCTCGGGGTGGTGGGGGTGCGTAAAAGCGTGCGGCAGTTTAATACAAGCCCGGCTTCTGTGAGTGGGACTCGTAGAACTCCAGCCTTTGCCCCCCCACACCCAACTTTTAAATAAATAATTAGAAAATTCACAAAGTATTTAACCATCACCCTAACTGATTCCAGAGTTAAGCTTTTTAAAAAGTAATAAAAAATCATGTAGAGACTTGGAAACCAGGGATGGGGGAGTTCCCAGCCCCACTCCCATCCATGACTGTGTCCCCACACAGGACAGATGGAGGTTTCTAGTCCAAGCAGGGAGAAAGAGAGAACCATAACCTTCCTTGATTCTTGTATTTTAATGGCCTGCTCCCTTACCTGGAGGCATCAGACTCCCTCTGTCTACACTTCGAAGCAAGCTGGGCCGTGCGCGTCCCCCATTGTCGTTTGTCAATATTTCCCCATGGCACCTACAACATGTCAGGGCCTGGGGTGGCTCTGAGTGCTGCTAGTAGTTTATAGAAACAGTATGAATCCAGTCTTGGAGGCTTAGTTAGGTCTCCAGGGGAACCCAGGGAGAGCAGGCTTGTTCTCACGCCGGCACACACCCCACCCCTGCACAGCCTAGCAGGACTCTCTTGATAGACACTCTCAGACCCCTGAGGGAGTAGAGAGGGAAGTTAGAGCCAGCACACTCCACGCCCTTCAGTCTGAGCTTTGGGTAGAATCTGTCAGAAATGGGCACTGTCCTGAACTAATGGAGTGGGGGCAGGGGACACGGGGCACCCAAATCATCATGGACTCCTAAAGAATTCATTGAATTCCATTGGCTCCAACTAATTCTCAAATCGCTGTCTTTACCTGGGTATGCCCAGCCCAGATGACGCCCTTGCTTTGGTCTTATGGAAGGTTCATGAAGCGTTTTATTTTTTTAGGAAGATTGCCGAGTTCAAGGAGACTTTGATCGGGCAGTGCATTATTCTCTTAAGGGCTATAACCCCGCTTTTGCTCTCTTGAACACACCGCGTCCACACTGAAGAAATGAATTGTATAAATACACAACTAGAGACAATGGCACAACTGTGACTTACCTTGGGACTGGGACTGATTCCCAATTGAGTCAGCCAGTCTTGTTTTGCACTTTACGTCGGTAATAAACATCTCACGTATTTCTCGGGGGGAGGGAACTATTTGGGATAGCTCCTTTAAGGGACACTGGCGAGGCATTCCAGATGCTGGACTCTGGATCTTTGGTGACATTATCACGATCGATCACCAGTGTCGTGATTACCGAGGACAAACAGAACTTAAACGCTTTAAGGATGGCAAATATGAAAAATGGTCCCTCTGTGGGTTTTGAATTTTTTTTTGAGCTCATATTTTGTATATGATTAATCTGGAACAATCCCCCCCCAAAAAAAAATTGACGTATCAATGAAAGTACTCTCACTGATTTTTTTTTTTTTTTTTTTTTTTACTGTGAATACAGCAGCCCCCATCCCAAGCTCCTGGTTTGTGGATTAGTAGTGTTCAGGTCTCCTGTCGGCTGCCGTCATTCACATTAACACCCTGGCACTCTTGTTTTTTTACTGAAGGATTGCCCTCTGTGTGTACTAACTGCCCTGCCTCTGACAGCAGGCTTCAATACAGGTCGGAATGAGCTGAGGGAGCTAGTTTGCCCCCCACACACACAAGCAACTAATTACTTTTGTTCTTGGGGGTTGAATTCGACATGCCAAATTATTTTGTGTTGTATGGGAATGGAGAGTGTTGTTATTTTGCTTTAGTGTTGAATCCAGATCTAATGGTTTGGTTTTGGAAGAACACGTATGCTTATTGAGAAGAATGAGTGTGGTTTAACAACCTAACTTGCATGTTTCCTTACTTTTGACCTTGGGCTGGGGAAATGACTACAGGTTTATGTGAAGCTAGCAGGTAATTTTTAAGGGGTCTAAATAGACAGATTACAGAAAACAATCAGATTGGCCAGTTTGTATCGAAAATAAAGAGCTTTAAAAAAATGTGTCAATGACAGGAGCTGGGTAACTTGTTAGAAATAAAGCAAAAATTCCATTTTCTGGCTGTGGATTCGGTTCTCTGCTGAAAGAGGCCGGAAGAGGTGTGACACCTTGCGTGTTTGAGGGTGGTCTACATGTTGCCCTTCCCGTATATTTAAAGCATGTCTACTGTGTTTGTCCTAAAAGAAATATTTCAACTAATTGTGCTCTGTGTTTAAGATACGCTGGGGCCGTAGCAGCAACCCTGACAGTCAGGGTTGCTGATCGTAACCTCCACTGCAGAATTCCCGTCTTGTGGGAATGCTACATAGTCCCGTATCTGCCGAAAATTGTAATTTCTCTGTAGATCTTCCCTCATGGTGATGTCACCAATGAATTCAAAGCAGGTGCCATTATTTTTTAAACACTTGATGTTTGCTTTGGTGTTGAATAAAAGAACTAGATTTCTTAAATTTTCACACTTGTCAGAGCCCATGTCTGTAGTGTGTGTATGTTTGTATGTGTGTGTGTGTGTGTGAGAGAGAGAGAGAGAGAGAGAGAGCATGCATGTGCACACACGTGTATGTAAAATAAATTTATAATAGACTCTTAAAAAGCAGCTTTAGATTTAAGGGAAAACTGATCAAGCTGTGTAAAGATATCTCTTGAATATCCTGCCCCTACTTACGCACCCTCATTCCCCAGGATCAACATCCTCCACAAAGCGGTACCTTTTATTTTCAATGTGTATGCATGAGTGTTTTGCCTGCATAGATATGTACACTGTACGTGTGCCTGGTGCACACAGAGGTCAGAAAGGCATGTCTGATCTCCTGGAACTGGAGTTACAGATGGCTGTAAGCTACCATGTGGGTGCCGGGATTCAAACCCAAGTTCTCTGTGACAAGAACCACAGTGCTCTAAACCACTGAACCAACTCTCCAGACCTCAGCATGGTACGTTTGGTACCAGCTGAGGAACCAGCATTGTTCCATCATAATCACCCAGAGTCATCATTCCTATGAGGGATATTCTTGGTTTCATTCTATGGGGTTAGACAAATACATAAGGGCATATATTAATTGTTGTAGCATTATACACAATGGTTTCATGCCTCAAAACATCCTGTGTCTTACCTATTTATCTACCCCTATAGTTAACTTTAAAACTAGTCTCCATTGCCTTCTGTAGAAAGTTGGTGTCTCGGGGTTTCTACTGCTGCAACAAAGACCATGACAAAAGAGCAAGTTGGGGAGGAAAGGGTTTATTTGGCTTACACTTCAGCATTGCTGTTCATCACTGAAGGAAGTCAGGACAGGAACTCACACAGGGCAGGATCCCAGAGTCTGGAGCTGATGACAGAGACCATCAGGGGAGCTGCTTACTGGCTTGTTCCCATGGCTTCTCCAACTCCCACCTTTTTGTAGAAAAAAACCTGGGATCAACAGCCCAGATATGGCGCCACCCACCATGGGCTGGGTCCTCCCCCATTGATGACTAAATAAGAAAATCCCTTACAGCTGGATCTGAAAAAGGCATTTCTTCAGCCGAGGCTCCTTCCTCTGATGACTCTCGCTTGTGTTAAGTGGACACACAAAACCAGCCAGTACAACACAAACACTACAGTCACGTTTGGCCTATTCAGTTGTGGTTGTAGTCCGATAAGTGAATTTGGGTAATTGGGTATCTGAATCTGTATGGTAGAGTTCTTGTATTTCAAGAGAGAAAACTCACTGTGCCTGGGTCCAAGGTGCAGTTCTGCCAAACCCTGGGTCCACATTGGTTTATTGTGGTTGATGCTGATGTATGGCCCGTTTCTGGAGCTCAAGGGGAGGGGGTGATTACTCAGTCAGTAGTTGGAGTACTAGGACATCTTAGTGTTGTGGAGAGAGGAAGTGGTGACTGGGGAACCAAGTCCACATGAACTGGACCGAGGAGGACAGGAATGATGTGGGGGACGCCAGCTGAGTTGTGCACAGTGTCAGAAATGCTGAGACGGAGCAGATCCCTCTGCCTTGAGCAATTTACTCTCAGGGCTTCTTGTTGCAGGGGCATTGGTTCTTTGCAAGAGCCACTTTGATAGTGCGTGAACTCAGCTGGGCTGGTGATGTTGGTTTCGTTAACCCCCGTCCTATGCATGACTAGAGCTCAGATGTAGGCACTTCTTCCAAGGTCATAACCTGGGAAGGAGGAAGTTAGGATGCTGCCTTGGCCTCTCTATAGTCCTGCTCTTTTGGCTCCCTATTTCCAGGCAACTTTCTCCACTGTTCACCCTTCCTGAAACCTATACAAACAAAACCACTAGAATTCCTGCATGACTCTAAAACTCTGAGAGATCAGTCCATTCTCTGTCCTGCACAATTCTCTGACTCTAGAGTCCACAGAGGCAAAACCGTTATTTTGGTGCTGCTGTAATTTGATGTCTAAAGTTAGAAATCTAGGAAATAGAAGAGGATGCTATCAAGATGGGTGGTTGTGTGTGTAGCCCAATATATTCTTAGTCTATATTTCCTAGAAAAAAAAATAAGTGGGGGGGGGGACTTCAATCTTTGATTTCCAGCTAATACTGAACCTGCTAAAGAATAAAGCACTATCTTCTGGTTTTATTATGTCCAGGTTTCATTTCTGTGGCATCAATAAAATACTTCCAACAAAAAGCAATGTAGGGTGCTGGTAGAAGTACGAAGTTGTATAGCTGCTTTGGAAATCAGTATGGCAGTTTCTCAGAAAATTGGGAATCAATCTACCTCAAGACCGAGCAATACCACTCTTGGGTATGTACCCAAAGGATACATACTCATACTGCAAGGACATTTGCTCAACTCTGTTCATAGCAGCATTATTCATAATAGCCAGAACCTGGAAAAAAAAACCTAGATGACCCTTGACCAAAGAATGGATAAGGAAAATGTGGTATGGTACATTTACACAATGGAGTACTACTTAGCAGTAGTAGGAAAAAAAATGATGTCTTGGAATTTGCAGGCAAATGAATGGAACTAGAAAAAAAAAACATTCTGAGTGAGGTAACCTAGACCCAGAAAGGCAAACATGGTATGCACTCACTCATAAGTGGATATCAGACATAAACTAAAGGCCAACCAGCTTACAGTCCACAACCCCAGAGAAGCTAGGTAACAAGGAGGATCCTAAGAGAGATGTACGTGGATCCCTCTGGGAAGGGGAAATGGATAAGATCTCCTGAGTAAATTGGGAATGTTGAGGGAGAAGAGGAGGAATGAAGGGGAGGGAGGAAGAAAAAGGGGAAGGGGAAAAGGGGAGGAGAACATGAGGAACTAGGATGGTCTAGTTGGGGAAAGGAGAGAGAGGGAGAGCAAGGAAAGAGATATCTCCATAGAGGGAACCATTTGGGGTTAGGGAGAAATGTGGCACTAGGGAAATTCCCAGGAATCCACAAGGATGACCCCAGCTAAGACTCTAAGCAATAGTGAAGAGGGGGCCCGAACTGGCCTTCCCCTGTAATCAGATTGATGACTATTTTAATTGTCATCATAGAACCTGCATCCAATAATTGATGGAAGCAGATGCAGAGATCCACAGCTAAGCACTGGGCGGAGCTCCTGGAGTCCAGTCGAAGAGAGGGAGGAGCGATTCTATGAGCAAAGGGGTCAAGACCATGATGGGGACACACACAGAGACAGCTGATCTGAGCTAGTGAGAGTTGACTGACTCCTGACTGGCAGCTGGGGAACCTGCATAGGACTGAATGAGGCCCTCTGAATGTGGGTGACAGTTGTGTGGCTTGGGCAGTTTGAGGGGCCACTGACAGTGGAACCAGGATTTATCCCTAGTGCATGATAACTGGCTTTTCAGAGCCCATTCCTGATGGAGGAAGGTCATTGGCTAATAAAGGCACTGCCCTGGCCCATTTTATTGGTTAGAGGATAGGTGGGAGGAGTAAACAGAACAGAACGCTGGGAGGAAGAGGAAGTGAGCTCAGAGACTCCACAGCTCTGCTCTCCGGAGCAGACGCCTCAGCAGAGACGCCATGCCCCGCTCCCGGGATGAAGCTCCGACCCAGGATGGACTAGGCTAGAATCTCCCCGGTAAGCGCACCTTGGGGTGCTACACACAGATGATTAGAAATGGGCTAAATTAATATGTGAGAATTAGCCTAGAAGAGAATGGGCCAAGCAGTGCTTAAAAGAATACAGTGTCTGTGTAATTATTTCGGGGCATAAGCTAGCCGGGCAGGCGGCCGGGGTGTTGGGGACGCAGCCCCGCCGCCGCCCTTATTACTTCATATGGCGCCCACGTGGACAACTGCTTCCACATAAAGCCTGAGACAGCTTGGGAAGTAATTCTAGAACAAAATGAAAGCATTGTGCCTGGTTTCTTGGTAGCAGCAATTTCTCGGTTCTACTCTGCTTGCTAGAGGCAAGCAAGCACCTCATCTAAGAGAGGCTTCCTGACTCAGCTTTAGCTGCAAAGCCTGCAGCTCATTAAGAGGTCCTGCCACGAAACACTTAAACGGTGTTGACAAAAAGCTGAACGCATGCTTTTCGGTTTTCAGCCATAACAGGAAAAAAGCTGCGCCATTTAAAAATGCCGGCTTTCTGGGCCATCCTGCCAGGGCAAACTCTGACTGTTTGAGGCAGGAGGGCCGACTACAGATAGAGGACTTGTGTGTTGTCAGTGGACATAATGCTGGAACTTACTTGCTGGCAGGAACTTTGAAATACCGTAGAGTTGTGGCAGTAAACATGGCTACAGCCAGTACCTCAGCCATGAGGCTGAAAGCTAAGGAATGGGCTACATCTAGCCAGCAAAGCCACAACTTTAATCCTACTGATATTGCTTGCTAAATTAAAGACTCATGTGGTCAGAAAAAGAGAGATATACAGTAAAGAGAGATTCAAAGACAAAGAAAATTTTTAAATGGTTTACAGTGTGTTAAAAATATATGCAGACTAAAAGTTGAAGTTCATAGAGTAAAAAAAAAAAAGAAAGGAAGAGAGTTGTTGTGTGTGGTAGTACACACCTTTAATCCCAACACTTGGAAGGCAGAGGGAGATTGACCTCTGTGACTTCAAGGTGTGGTAGCACACGCCTTTAATCCCAGTGCCTAGAAGGCAGAGACAAACATATCTCTGTGAGTTCAAGGTGTAATAGTGTACACCTTTAATCCCGAATGCCTGGGAGGCAGAGACAGGCGGATCTCTGAGAGTTCAAAGACAGCCTGGTCTACAGAGTTACTTCAGGTCAAAGATACAGAGAACCTGTCTCAAAAAGCAAAGAGTTAAAAGTAAAAATAAACAAAATAGAGGATAAAACAAAGCTGCACAAATATGGAAAATGCACAGAGAATTTTGATACTGTATGCTATTATGCTCTCTTTAAATTATTTAAATGCTGAGGAAGGAGCAGCAGATGCTAAAAGATATTTATTTATAAATGCTGCTGAACTAATCCAACATAGATATTTTGGTGCCTTGACTCTGAAATTTGGATC